CCAATTTCTGAGAGCCTGGGGGCTAGCCGGGGCGGGGTGAGGGGTGGATCCACTGCCCTCCTGAAGGTCCCTTGGTCAGTGGAGTCTCTTCCCAATGTAGCCACTAAGCTGGGAGGGAAGCAGAGGGAAGAAAGAGAGGGGCACCCTGGGGAATCAGCGCCCTGGAGAGATCAGAGATTCTAGAGCCAGAACAGTCTTCAGACACTGTCTAGTCTAACCTTGTTTTACAGAAGAAGAAAGACATCCAGAGAAGAAATAGCATTTCCCCCAGGCCACACAGCTAGTAAGGGGGAGAGGTGAAACTTGAATTCAGGTCTTCTTACTCCAGATCCAGGACTCTCACATTCCCTAGAGTTGTCTGTATCTAGTGGGTGGGACCCAGGAAAGTTATTTCAGGACCTTTATCTGTGGGTCTCACCTTCCTGTGAGTCACCTCTTTGTGAGTCAGAAGCCCCCCCCACCAGAGGCCCCCAGTCCCTGCTCTGCCAGAATGTCAATTAGTCACAGCTTGAGGGGGCTTTAACAGGGTTGAAGGGAGTGGGAAAGAGAAGCATTCACAAGTCCTGCCTCTCCCCCTCCCTTCCCCCCATTTCCATGTTTGAGTTGGATACAAAGCAGGGCTCTGTCTCACCAAATCCGAGATGACCTCAGAGGGCTCTCCAGAGGTCATCTTGGCCATCCCCCTGCCTCCACAGGCCTCCCTTTGGGCTTCTGGAGCCTTTACTACTTCCCTCTCACCCACTGGATTCCTTCTATCTGAAGCCTTCTACTTCATAGGACCAGAATCTAAGACCCGAGAGCTGGATTAAGCGTCCAACAACCTCGTTTTCCAGAGGAATGAACCAAGGTCCGTAGCAGAAGAAGTCACGGACAAAGCCAGATGAGAGCCCAGGACTGGATCTTCCCACCCACTGCACCATACTGTCTGTCCTGCTTCTCCTCCCCTTCAGCTTAGCACTGCGGTGAGGGTTTGGTGCTCATCCAGTGCCCTGTTCCAGAGGGGCTGCTCTAATTTTATTGACTTTGCATCTGTTAGCCAAGTCTTCTTTCCCAGCGGACCCCTTTGCGGTGCTGTGTGGTCTGTATCTGCTCCGAGTTCTCAGCCTCAGCAGATGATTGGAGCATGAGCAGGCTCTGGAACCACCCCAGCCCTATGGATGCATAGCCCTTGCCCCAGGGACCCATTTCCCTGTTGGTCTGAGTTCCATTCTCACCCAGCCCTGGCTTCTATCGACCCTAGGCTTGTGTCTCTTGCTCCAAGGCCCCCACCACTACCCAACCTTCTTCCTCTTCTGGCTGACAGAGCCCTTGGGCAAGGGGTAAAGGGAAGGAGGACGGGAAAAGTTGAGTCTGTTGGTCCAATGGGAATGGTCATTTGCCCTGAATTCATGATAAACCAATGAAGGAAAGGGAATGAAGCCAAAGAGAGATGGGGGTAGTATAGGGGCAGGGGGTTGTGGTAGCTCAGCTGTGGAGTTAGGCAGGAAGTGGCCCCATTGGAAAGGCCTTCAGGCCTTGAATTAGAATCTTCCGTTGTTCCAGATGAATCAGCTGAGGGCAGGGTGGGGAAGAGTTGGTCCATCCTATGAAGCTTCTCCGGGAATTATCCACTTGGGAGCTCTGAGCCTCCTCTCCCTGCTATCAATTCACTGTGTGACTTTGAAACAGTCACTTTCCTCCTCTGGACTTTAGTTTTCTAAATGAGGGATTGTGCTCAATGGTTTCTAAGGGCCAGTCTAGTTCTGAGTTTCTACATACTACGTTCTAAGATCTCTCCTCATTCTCATGTTTTGTGTTCCGTGTTCTAAGAGCCGGAGCTCTGACATTTCACATCCTATGTCCTAAGAGCCCTCCCAGCTCCGACATCCTGTCCTTTCTATATTTGACCCTTCTCTATAAGGCCCTTACCCTTTCTGATATTCTGTGTTTTAAAGATCCTCCTAATTCTGATGTTCTATGTTCCAGACTAACTTTCTGTGAGTCTGTAACACTGTGGCCCTATTGGTCGCTCAAACCCCTCTGTTCTCTTCAGGGCAGATGTGTAGGGCCAGAGTCCTGGGAGCAATCTAATTGGCTGGTATTGGAGGCCAAGGACCTCTCAGGGCCTCTCTTCCTCACTCAGGCTTTGACCAGATTCTCTACCTGAAGACCTCCCAGTGTGGCCAGCTGGATATTTTGACTCCACAAACGGGTGTCGATAGGTTGGTGGCTGGCTCCCCTTATCCCTCCCTCCATAATTAATGCCTGCCTTTCCTTCTCAGGATCACCCTTCCCCCAAAGCCTCTAGGGTGTCATTCCCTAGCTACCTGCCCACTCATTGTCCAGGGCTCTGGGAGCTGCTGGACAGGGGCAGATCACACTTGAGGAGCAAAGGGCAAACACTACCAGATGTGGTAGCTACCGCTGCTGCTACCCCAGGCCTAGCAGGGAAATCTTGCTTTTTCTCATCGAGGAAGAAATACAATACCCAGGTTGGAGCTGAGTGAAGACCAGGCTTGAGCCAGGAAGCTCTGGATGGACTTTGGACTCTGCCTAGCCCAGCCCTCCCACCTGCCCATAAGACTGGAGTATCCTAGACACTGGGTCCTAGAATACCTGGAGAGGAAGAGATGTCCTGGCCTTCCGACCCTAATCCTGAGGCTAGGAGAACAGGGTGTGCTCTGTGTTACCCCCCTCACCCACCAGGCTAGAAGGACCTGACTTCCACTCTGACGCAGAAGCTCCAGGACCCAAATGCTCCAGCTGTTTCTCCCAGCCCATATCTCCGGGACTGATTGGGTGTGTAGCAGACACAGCTGAGAGAAACCCTTCCCCAATCTCTCACTCCATCTTGGCCAGTCTCGGCCATGGAAAGAGATGGAAAAATTTAGTGTAATCTCTGTGGGGAAATTCTGGGATGAGGAGGTAACAGGGACAAAGAGCACAGTTGAGTGCATATGAGAAAACTCAGGAGTATCATGTCCCTGGGTGGGACCTTAGAACACAGAATGTCAGAGCTGAGAGGCCCCTTAAAACGCAAGATGTCAGAGCTGGGAGGGCCCTTAGAACATGGAATGTCAGAAATAGGAGGTCCCTTAGAACATAGGATGTCAGAGCTGGGAGGACCCTTAGAATGCAGACTACCAGAGCTGGGAGGGGCATTAGAACATACAATATCAAAAGTGGAGGAGTCCTTAAAGATCGTCTGATTCAGCTGCCTCATTTTATAGAGGAGGAAACTGAGGCCCAAATAAGGGAAGTTATTGATCCAAGGTCACACAGTTGTTTTCTGTTACTTTCTGTTCCATTCCATTCCATTCATGTTTATCTGATACTTCTTGTGTGTCTAGCTTTGGTTTCAGCCAGGCTGCAGGGCAAACAAGAGGATATTGAGCCTTTCTGCCCTTGAGGAATTTCCATTAGGTTAGGGAGACAAGAAACTATTCTATAACGTCAAAAGACAGGATAAAATAGACACCATTGTGCTGGTGGTAAGTGTAGGAATGACACCTGAGGAGTGGAGACAAGGTATCAAGGCATCCTGAGGACCAGAGCCAGGGAGGCTGGAAAGGCTTCCTGCGGGGTGGGGGTAGGGGAGAAGTGGGGCCCTGAAAGGCAGCAGGATTTGGGAAGGAGGCTCTTGGTGAGGACAGTCCATCCTGAGCTGAGAGGAACTAGAGTGGGCCCCTTTGCTAGGGGCTCCAAGGAGGGGCTTTTGCGTGCAGGATCAGTCTATAGCTCCGGGGGTAAGAGACTGAAGAAAGCCCCTCCCTTCCTATTAAACATATCCCTCCTCATCCTACCCCACTGTGCTGGCTTAAAGAGCGGAGGCAGAGGGCTTCTGGGGCAGAGAGGAGTGTGTGTGTGTGTGTGTGTGTGTGTGTGTGTGTGTGTGTGTGTGTGTG